GTGTGTAGGGTTTAGTGTGTAGGGTGTAGTGTGTAGTGTATAGGGTGTAGTGTAGTGTATAGGGTGTTGTGTATAGGGTGTAGTGTGTAGTGTATAGGGTGTAGTGTGTAGTGTATAGGGTGTAGTGTAGGGTGTAGTGTATAGGGTGTAGTGTATAGGGTGTAGTGTGTAGTGTATAGGGTGTAGTGTGTAGTGTATAGGGTGTAGGGTGGACTCCCTGAATGGGTATTGCTTCTGCATCAAACTAAATCTAGTGCGAATGGGAATTGGACGTATTCTTGGCGAACGACAGGAAAGTCCGTGATATAATATTGTGAAAGGACAGAGACACCTTAAATGTTCTTAAACCTATAAAACTGTGATATAGATCAGCTTGCATCTTTACGTTTCAAATGTTTCCTTAAACTTGCATAATAAACATGCAATGAAAGATTGTTCTGAAGGATATTGTTCTATATAAAGTGTAAGTCTGCTGAGGGAGCCTCTTCTTCATCTTGCATAAGGCACCGGATCCGTCGAAAGAGACGTGCAGCGCTCGCTCTCCTCCTCCTCCTCTTCCTCATCCTCTTCCTCCTCCTCTTCTATTAGTCTTTGAGTTTGTTAATGAAATGAAGAAGCGTCGGATGGCAGGAAAGCGTGGATCTTCAGGTGCAGCTGTAAACTTCAAATATTCACTGCGAGTCAAAAGAAGCGCCACTGAAGAGAGCCATCCGTGTGTGTGTGTGTGTGTGTGTGTGTGTGTGTTTAATTGAGCTGGTCCTCGTATTGTTTCCGGAAACAGTCGCCAGCGGGAAAGAATTCCCAGCAACGCTCCTGGTACATTTTCCAAACGTACGACTCCTGAAAGACAAACAAGAGTGTGTGTTGAATAGCAGAAGCCACTCTCGGCTCCGTCCCAAACTCACGATCACACACGCAGTGGCCATACAGAACCACCATACAGAACCACCATACAGAACCACCATACAGAACCACCATACAGAACCACCATACAGAACCATCATACAGAACCACCACACAGAACCATCATACAGAACCACCACACAGAACCACCATACAGAACCATCATACAGAACCACCACACAGAACCACCATACAGAACCATCATAAAGAACCACCATACAGAACCATCATACAGAACCATCATACAGAACCATCATAAAGAACCACCATACAGAACCACCATACAGAACCACCATACAGAACCACCATACAGAACCACCATACAGAACCATCATACAGAACCACCACACAGAACCATCATACAGAACCACCACACAGAACCACCATACAGAACCATCATACAGAACCACCACACAGAACCACCATACAGAACCATCATAAAGAACCACCATACAGAACCATCATACAGAACCATCATACAGAACCATCATAAAGAACCACCATACAGAACCATCATACAGAACCATCATACAGAACCATCATAAAGAACCACCATACAGAACCATCATACAGAACCATCATACAGAACCATCATACAGAACCACCATACAGAACCATCATACAGAACCATCATACAGAACCATCATAAAGAACCACCATACAGAACCACCACACAGAACCACCATACAGAACCATCATACAGAACCATCATACAGAACCATCATAAAGAACCACCATACAGAACCATCATACAGAACCATCATACAGAACCACCATACAGAACCACCATACAGAACCATCATAAAGAACCACCATACAGAACCATCATACAGAACCATCATACAGAACCACCATACAGAACCACCATACAGAACCATCATACAGAACCATCATACAGAACCATCATAAAGAACCACCATACAGAACCATCATATAGAACCATCATACAGAACCATCATACAGAACCATCATGCAGAACCATCATACAGAACCACCATACAGAACCACCACACAGAACCACCATACAGAACCACCACACAGAACCATCATACAGAACCATCATACAGAACCACCATAAAGAACCACCATACAGAACCACCATACAGAACCACCACACAGAACCATCATACAGAACCATCATACAGAACCACCATAAAGAACCACCATACAGAACCACCATACAGAACCACCATAAAGAACCACCATACAGAACCACCACACAGAACCACCATACAGAACCATCATACAGAACCACCATAAAGAACCACCATACAGAACCACCATACAGAACCACCATAAAGAACCATCATAAAGAACCACCATACAGAACCATCATCTTACAGAACCATCATACAGAACCACCATACAGAACCATCATACAGAACCATCATAAAGAACCACCATACAGAACCATCATAAAGAACCACCATACAGAACCATCATACAGAACCATCATAAAGAACCACCATACAGAACCATCATAAAGAACCATCATACAGAACCATCATAAAGAACCATCATACAGAACCATCATAAAGAACCACCATACAGAACCATCATAAAGAACCATCATACAGAACCACCATACAGAACCATCATACAGAACCATCATACAGAACCACCATACAGAACCATCATACAGAACCATCATAAAGAACCACCATACAGAACCATCATAAAGAACCACCATACAGAACCATCATACAGAACCATCATAAAGAACCACCATGCAGAACCATCATAAAGAACCATCATGCAGAACCATCATAAAGAACCATCATACAGAACCATCATAAAGAACCACCATACAGAACCATCATAAAGAACCATCATACAGAACCACCATACAGAACCATCATACAGAACCATCATAAAGAACCACCATACAGAACCATCATAAAGAACCACCATACAGAACCATCATACAGAACCATCATAAAGAACCACCATACAGAACCATCATAAAGAACCATCATACAGAACCATCATAAAGAACCATCATACAGAACCATCATAAAGAACCACCATACAGAACCATCATAAAGAACCATCATACAGAACCACCATACAGAACCATCATACAGAACCATCATACAGAACCATCATAAAAAACCACCATACAGAACCATCATACAGAACCACCATACAGAACCATCATACAGAACCATCATACAGAACCATCATAAAGAACCATCATACAGAACCACCATACAGAACCACCATACAGAACCATCATACAGAACCATCATACAGAACCACCATACAGAACCATCATAAAGAACCACCATACAGAACCATCATACAGAACCATCATACAGAACCACCATACAGAACCATCATACAGAACCATCATAAAGAACCACCATACAGAACCATCATACAGAACCACCATACAGAACCATCATAAAGAACCATCATACAGAACCATCATACAGAACCATCATAAAGAACCATCATACAGAACCACCATACAGAACCATCATACAGAACCATCATACAGAACCACCATACAGAACCATCATACAGAACCATCATAAAGAACCACCATACAGAACCACCATACAGAACCATCATAAAGAACCACCATACAGAACCATCATACAGAACCACCATACAGAACCATCATACAGAACCACCATACAGAACCATCATACAGAACCATCATACAGAACCATCATAAAGAACCATCATACAGAACCATCATAAAGAACCACCATACAGAACCATCATACAGAACCACCATACAGAACCACCATACAGAACCATCATACAGAACCATCATACAAAACCATCATACAGAACCACCATACAGAACCATCATAAAGAACCACCATACAGAACCCCCATACAGAACCATCATACAGAACCACCATACAGAACCACCATACAGAACCACCATACAGAACCATCATACAGAACCACCATACAGAACCACCATACAGAACCACCATACAGAACCATCATACAGAACCACCATACAGAACCATCATACAGAACCACCATACAGAACCATCATACAGAACCACCATACAGAACCACCATACAGAACCATCATACAGAACCATCTTACAGAACCACCATACAGAACCATCATACAGAACCATCATACAGAACCACCATACAGAACCATCATAAGGAATCATCATACAGAACCATCATAAAGAACCATCATACAGAACCATCATACAGAACCATCATACAGATTCATCATACAGAACCATCATAAAGAACCATCATACAGAACCATCATACAGAACCATCATACAGAACCATCATACAGAACCATCATACAGAACCACCATACAGAACCATCATACAGAACCATCATAAAGAACCACCATACAGAACCATCATAAAGAACCATCATACAGAACCATCATACAGAACCACCATACAGAACCATCATAAAGAACCACCATACAGAACCACCATAAAGAACCATCATACAGAACCACCATACAGAACCATCATACAGAACCACCATACAGAACCATCATAAAGAACCACCATACAGAACCACCATACAGAACCATCATACAGAACCACCATACAAAACCATCATACAGAACCACCATACAGAACCATCATACAGAACCACCATACAGAACCATCATACAGAACCACCATACAGAACCATCATACAGAACCATCTTACAGAACCATCATACAGAACCATCATACAGAACCACCATACAGAACCACCATACAGAAACATCATAAAGAACCACCATACAGAACCATCATACAGAACCACCATACAGAACCATCATACAGAACCATCATAAAGAACCACCATACAGAACCATCATACAGAACCATCATACAGAACCACCATACAGAACCACCACACAGAACCATCATACAGAACCATCATACAGAACCACCATACAGAACCATCATAAAGAACCACCATACAGAACCACCATACAGAACCATCATACAGAACCATCATACAGAACCACCATACAGAACCACCACACAGAACCATCATACAGAACCATCATACAGAACCACCATACAGAACCACCATACAGAACCACCATACAGAACCACCACACAGAACCACCATACAGAACCATCATAAAGAACCACCATACAGAACCATCATACAGAACCACCATACAGAACCATCATAAAGAACCAACTTACAGAACCATCATAAAGAACCACCATACAAAACCATCATACAGAACCACCATACTGAACCATCATAAAGAACCATCATACAGAACCATCATAAAGAACCACCATACAGAACCATCATACAGAACCACCATACAGAACCATCATACAGAACCATCATACAAAACCATCATACAGAACCACCATACAGAACCATCATAAAGAACCATCATACAGAACCATCATAAAGAACCACCATACAGAACCACCATACAGAACCATCATAAAGAACCACCATACAGAACCATCATACAGAACCACCATACAGAACCACCATACAGAACCATCATAAAGAACCACCATACAGAACCACCATACAGAACCATCATACAGAACCAACATACAGAACCACCATACAGAACCACCATACAGAACCATCATACAGAACCACCATACAAAACCATCATACAGAACCACCATACAGAACCATCATACAGAACCATCATACAGAACCACCATACAGAACCATCATACAGAACCATCTTACAGAACCACCATACAGAACCATCATACAGAACCACCATACAGAACCATCATACAGAACCATCTTACAGAACCACCATACAGAACCATCATACAGAACCATCATACAGAACCATCATACAGAACCACCATACAGAACCATCATAAGGAACCATCATACAGAACCACCATACAGAACCACCATACAGAACCATCATAAGGAACCATCATACAGAACCATCATACAGAACCACCATACAGAACCATCATAAGGAACCATCATACAGAACCATCATACAGAACCACCATACAGAACCATCATACAGAACCATCTTACAGAACCACCATACAGAACCATCATACAGAACCACCATACAGAACCATCATACAGAACCACCATACAGAACCATCATAAGGAACCATCATACAGAACCATCATAAAGAACCATCATACAGAACCATCATACAGAACCACCAACACATGAGAACATGCAGGAGAGCATGCTGGGAAGTACCTGGCCTGTGTGCTCGGTTTCATCCTTGTTGATGAGATACATGAAGAAAAATCTGCAGAGACACAAACATGCACATTATACAATCATTAGAGTTATTACGGTAACACTTCACAATAAGGTTCATTAGTTCAGTGGTTCTCAAAGTGGGGTCCGCGGACCACTAGCCAGGGGGCTAGCGAAATAATTTTTAACAGCCTACCGTTTTTTACGGACTATATTCGTGTTTTCTTTATCATCTGAAAACATGCTATTTATTCCAAAGTGACTTATTTAATGCATTTAACGTCAAATAATACAAAGTAGACACTTAGGTTTCTAGATAGATAATATCTCTGTATTTCATATGTCTGTGTGTCAAGTAGACTTTTCGCTGTGTTTTGGTTGATTTTGGGGCCAGAAGGAGACAGAGACGGCACCCGCATCCTGTTGTTTTCTTTATTTTTAAAAGGCATGACATTTTGTAGTCATTTTTAATGTATACACAATGGACACTTTACCGTTTTGAATGATGTACTCTTGTCTTATCTGTATGACCATAAATAATTAGTATTCCTTTGTTTCCACTGCTGAGGAAAAAATCCCAAGTAATCGCGCCGGCGTCTCGCGTGCGCACAATATGTCAGTTCTAGCACTGCTAGATTTGACATTAGAAGCCTGATCATTATCAAAATAAAATACAATCAACCGAACTTATATAAAGTTCGGCTTAATTTAATTTATCTGTTGTACACTATGAAGGCAGTCAATCATTCATAGCCTACTGTCGACTTGCTGTTATTCCAATGTCATTTCTCCGCATGTGAAGATGCTGATATGTGTAGGCCTGTGACTGAAGCAGCTTTCTTTACAGTTAAGCATCCAAATGTTAGGCTACATCGCCAATGTGGAAACTTTGGACCGAATGAGAGATGCACGAGCCCAACGTCTGCAGTTTCAGTTTTGATTAAAATTAATTCGTTTAGACTTGATGTTTAAAATAAATGTTGTCTTTATACTATTATTATTATTATTTGTATTATTATCTTATAGGGTAGCCTACTTATTTTTCATTCTCGTTTTGTTCTGAATAGCTACCATTAATTTAAGGATTTGCTGTGGAGTGAGGGGAAGGCTAACGCCTCAACAACGCAACAAAGTAGGCCTATTACACATTCAGATGCAACTCATTTAATGGAAAATTTAAAATTTGTGCTGTAATATTAAAAAGTGCATAGGGACAGGGCTGTACCCACAATTGAGGTCCCCGCGATGTCCGGACCTCTGTCATTTTTCTATGTGTGTTGTGTATATAATGAAAGTTGTGAAATAATTGCCTAATAGGCTATTAACTTAATTTGGTGCTGCAAGGGTATTGTACATCGCGATGATAACTGACCTTCTCGTCTGAGCTGCTTCAGCAGACTAACAACAGCAGTCAATGTCAAAATTTTCGAGTCGG